AAGGTGACAGTCAGAAGATGGAATCCAGAACTGCAGATAACACGTTACGCTAATACTGTTTCATGTGGCCTATATATGTGCATTTTAGATTTCGGCATACTGTGGCTTATGAATGTTACTTTTATACTTAACAAGTTGGAGACCGAACTCATTGTGGTTAGATTTGGTGGTTTTGTAACCCTAATAAATGATTATTATATGTTCAATATGACTCATATTGACTGTAAAGTAGACAATATCGTGTTTTTCAAATATTGAATTTTACCTCTAAATAATAGGATCAAATTGAGGCTATATAAAGCGTAACTGCAATGCCTGGGTCTGAGTCCTCATTATTAGGTAGCTGCCCACCTGGCCTTTCTTCGTCAACACCTGATCTGAGGTGCGTCTGAGAGCAAACCATGTTAATTGGTGCTGTCTCTTTAAATGCTAATGAGGTAGCGCTTTTGACCACGCCCCCAACCCAAGGAGACCACAGGTTCAACACCACCCCGAGCGGCCATTTTTGTAGTTACAAAGCCACTACAATATCTCATAGCAACATCTCATTACATCGCAAACATGAATGCAGCTTCCTCCATAGACTGAAACAAATGTTACTTTTCAATCTAGTCCAGTCTTATATATCCGACATCTATCTCCATTTTAGCTTTGGGATGCGCACAAAAGTGCTATGATCTCACACGCCGGTTTTGTTTACGAACAGCGGGCCCGGGCCTTGCGCGTGACTCACGCGTCGCATATATGACGCACTATGCAACGATGACCGGAAATGTTTAAATTGAATATACTATCTATGCACAATATTACAGCATTTACAAACTTGAGCAACGTTTTTTCCTTCAACATAAGAAAGAGACGCATGCGCCTCCGAGCCGCAGGTTTGCCGACTCCTAGTTTATACATTATGTTTAAGCAAATTGTAGACAGTGTCTCCCAAAGTGGGGCCGCTGCCCCCTGGATGAGGGCCGCGAGGGTACTTGCGGGGAGCCGCGTGAGGTCATAAAAAAAAAATATATATATAATATAATATACTTTATTTAATGTTTAAATTTATAATGTTTTGTTTGTAATATTAAAATCTTTGGTGTCATTATTTTGACTTGAATAAACCCCTGTAATCATTTTTGTATTAACAATGTTTGTAGCATAGCATTTCCCCAAAATAAAATAACCAGAAGAGCCTATTCTTAATGTTGTCTTCTTGGTTATTATTTTGTGAGGGTGGCCAACGCAACCCGTCATATTTTAAAGGGGGCCTCGGAGTTACTTGAGTTTGGGAATGGCTTGCTGTATAGGATCAGGATAATGTGCAGTTTCCAACAATAAATAAAATGCAATAGTCTAACATTACAAATGTAATGAACATGGTCTCAGAGTGAGAGGAGGTGGACACAGACATCACTATTGTTTGTTACAGGGATGAACTGTGTCAAGAAAGACTGAAATACATATTTGTTCAGCCATTGCTGGCTCTAAATCTGTCTAATTTTTCACAACCTCTTCTTTGGTCTCAACATGAACTTTTTATTAAAAAAAAAATCAATGCAAAACATGTAGGTATACAGAGGCTTATTAGGGCGTTAAATCGCAGCATTCACGAGGAGATGGGAGGCACGCGGACTGTTTTTTCCTGCAGCAGTTGTATTTATTGGGTGCACAGAATACCAAAGACAACGCATGGTCCTGTGCGCTTTATGGGGTTGGGTACAAGGCCACGTGACAGCAAAGTCACGCTCAGCCACAACACGGAGAGCGGCTGCGAGAGGCAGTGAGGTTCCAGCCCCGCTCGCAGCCGCTCCACCTTGTTGTGGCCGAGCGTGCAGCCACAACGTTGGGCCAGTACCCAACCCATAAAACGCGCACAGACCATGCGTGTCTATTGAGATAATCTGTGCACCCAATAATACACTGCTGCAGGAAACCTCCGCGTCTCCCCTCTCCACTTTGAAGCCGATTAACGCCCTAAATAAAGCTCTGATACCTACATTTTGCATTGAATAACAAGTTCATGATTGAGCCCAAAAGTAAATATGTGAACAAATTAGACAGATTTAGAGCCAGCAAATGGCAGACAATATTATATCAGTCCCTATTTGACCAAATTACTCAACCTAGTAACAAACAAATAGTGTTGTCTGTGTACCACCTCCTCACTCTCTAGACATGTTCATTACCCTCTTGTTACTGTAGACTATTGCATTTAATTTATTGATGAAACTCACATAACCTGATCCTCTACAGCAGCCATTCCGCAAACTCAGTAACACCGATGCCCCCTTAAAAATCTGACGGGTCTGCGTGGCCCCCCGAATAATAATAACCAAGAAGACAACATTAAGAATAAGGTCTCTTCTGTTATTTTATTTTGGGGAAATCAGGCCTCTGCTAACATAACATTGGTAATACAACAACTGATTACAGTGGATTATACAATACAAATAATGAAGCCCAAATATTTTTATATTACCAAACAACACATTATTCATTATAACCTTGCAAATAATTATATATATATATATATATATTTTTTTTTATGACCAGTCCCGCGGCCCCCCAGCAGTAAAAGAAAATTGAAACCGCTCGCGGCCCCACCAGGGGCCCGCGACCCCCTTTGGGAGACACGCTCTACATTTGCTTCCACATACACTAGTATAAAAACTGAGAGTCGGCAACTCTGCGGCTCCGGAGGCGCATGCGTCATCTTTCTTCCTGTAAAGGAAAAACACAGTTCTCAAACACACATCATAAAAATGATCATGAGCAAAATGGTGCATAAGTAATAATTCAATTTAACATTTCCGTCAACGTAGTGCGTCATATCCTCGCGACGTAGGCCGCGCGCCAGAGCGGCCGCTGTAGTAAACAAACCGCGTGTTTAGCATCATAGACTGTGCCGCATCCCAAAGCTAAAAAGAGAAAGTCGATTAATAAGACTGGACAAGAAAGAAAATAACAATTGCTTTCAGTCACTGAGGAAGGCCTGCTCATGTTTTGCGATGTAATGAGAAGTTTTTCTATGAGATAATTTGATTTGTGCTTAGTAACTAACGGGGGGGGGTCGGGGGGTGAAGGGGGGGGGGGGGGTGGGGGGGGGGGGGTGGGGGGGGGGGTGGGGGGGGGGGGTGGGGGGGGGGGGGGGGGGGGGGGGGGGGGGGGTTGACAAAATGGCCGCTCGGGTGGAGTTTGAACCTGTGTCCACCTGATGGGGGCGAATGTTCAAAAGCGCCTCATTTGCATTTAAAGAGACAGCACAAAACAGGTGCTCCGAGACGCACCTCAGAACAGGTGTAGAAGAAATCCAGTGGAGCGACAAATAATGAGACTCAACCCATGCATTGCATTGACGCTTTATATAGTGCCACAAATTGCTGATTAGATTAAAAATCAATATTGAAACACGATATGTCAACTTTAAGGTCAAATAAGAGTCATATTAACATATAATCATCATTAATATTTGGTTACAAAACCACCAAAATTCAACCAACAATGAGTTCGACCTCCAACTTGTTAATATAACCAGAAACATTATAACCACAGTATGCACGACTTAAAATGCACTAATATAGGCACATGAACAAGGATTAGCAGTAACGTGTGAATGCAAGTACTGGATTCAATCTTCTGACTGTCACCTTTCCAAACATCGCACAACTCAATTGCCTCATCAGATGATTATCAAATACAACGTCGGTTCCGCTCCGGGACTGTTCATAAATCACATTTTAAACACATATAAATATTTTCTGACCTGAGAACAGAGAGAAGCGGTTTTTTCACATGGATTTTTAGGTAAACAATTAAATAATGATGAATACATTAAGTTAAGCAACACAAATATTGTTTCAATATGTAATTTGTTCAAGTCCAACAGACCATTGAAGTTTGCCTTTACAGTGCAAACCATGATTAAGAAATATACTTCCAGCCACATTGGCCAACACCGGTCTTGTGTTAGTCTGGTTTAGAACTGTTTAGTCATGGTTTACATCTGGTATGTCCCTGGTTTAGTCTGGTTTAGGTCTGTTCTAGTCTGATCTAGTCTGGTTTAGTCTGGTTTAGTCTGGACTTTAGTCTCGGTTGGATCAGCACATTGGTCTGGTTTAGTCTGGTATATACAGGTTTAGTCTGGTTTATCTGGTTTTAGGTCTGGTTTTAGACCTGAGGTTTAGTCTGCACGTGAGCACATGGTCCTATCAGCTCCAACTGTAAGACCCAGTTATTATAATAGAACCCTGGGTTCATAGTTCACTGGCGTCAGCACGTTAGATCAAAATATAACGGAATCGTGGACGAAGTCGGAAGTAAATATTTCAATTACCTATTAAAGCCTAAACATAACACATTCCCATAAAATAACCCACCCCAGCCATAACCCTACCTTAACCATCTTACTCAACCGCCTAAAACTTAAACCATCACCACTTAAGGACATATTAGTCGAAGGCACACCTAATTCGAAGTACGAGTGTTACTTCCGTTTCGTCCCCATTCCGTATATACTAGTGCCGAGCTCATGTTCACTGTGTTTGTAGTCAGTGGGCGTCAGTATAATGCGGTCCGTCTGAAACTCATCCAGTGAGAAATGTTCCGCGGTGCAAAAATAAATACGAATAAAATGCGTCCAATTTTTAACGCACACAAATTTTGTGTCAAATTAAATTAATCTAATGAAACTGTTAAAAGTCCCGGCCCCCGCCAGCCTTAACACAGTTGTCTCTTGCATCCATGTAAGTGGTACAGAATGTGAGCAAACTATTTTGAACATAATATAAACAAGAGCTAAAGACATTCCCAGTAAACAGATGTGTGTGTAATCATTTATAATCATCTTAAAGTGTTGTTTGCAGTTTCATACGCATAGCAACAACTTTAGTGTGTCAGTCGTTTTTCTTGTGCAGTTGATACACGAGACTTAGTCGTCTCCAGTCGACATGTCTGGACTCTGTAGAAAACCACACAGATCAGACACTGCTGAAATCAACAGATCGTTCAACTCAGGTCCAGAAGTGAGATGTGAAGGGGTTGGACTCCAAAGCTGAGGCCACAGAGGAACAGCTGGATCTCAGACAAACCACAGTTCCCCAACCTGAATAAGAACACATATGTACATTAGAGCATCGTGATCTTATAAGACTACGATACAAGCTGAGGAATTGCTCGTTAGCTTTGACTAATCTGAAGACTGAACCTTTTCCAAATGTATAAGAAATATACCACACGTGTCATAGTATTAAAACATCAGAGCAACGCACAGTACGTCTCCTTTAAGATATTAAACCCATTAGTCACACACCATAGTAAACACAAGAGACCAAGAGCAAAGGGACAGGAATTCGACCAACGACCACTTCCTAAATAATGTCCTAAGTCCACAGAGCGGCTCAGGTTCATGACCACCGCTGCTGTCTGCCACATCAGGCCTACAATCTAGAAGCCTCCCAGAACAACTACTGACCCATTTTAACCGAAATAAACTATATTTTAAAACAGTGATGCATACATAGGAACACCACTTAGTGAAATAATAATAGTAAATGAAGAATGAAACCCTTTTATATCTTTAAGTCTAGAATTACATACAGCCACATGAGCTTTCAATAATTACAGGCTATATTGGAATAATCACATTTAAAAGTGACTATAGTTTGTGCGTCCAACAACAGAAAAGTGTCCCAGAAGTTGTCTGACACATCTGTGTCCTTGAATTAAAAGAACGTTCTAAGCCTGAATCATAGTAAGATGGATTTTTACTACCAGACCCTGAAAGCTCCGCCACTATCCAAGCTCTCTATCATCTTTTGATAAACAAGACCACTGTTTAAGGTGCTAAACTGTAATGATGTGAAATAATACATTATGGATCAATAACATATACAACCGGTGCAGCTCCCTCTGTGTCATCAGGAGGAACTTGCTCCCACAGTTATGTGACGAACACACATCACACAGCGCGCGCCATGAGGATCCCTGAGGTTTAAATGAAGGACACTCACCTGAGAGAGTAGACGTCTCCCGTGAGGACACCGCAGTCCAGCACACAGCACAGACACACTTGTAGTCACCAGATTACATTACGACTCAGCTCCAATCATGAGAAGGGAGGGGCGGAACTCAGCGCTGGATGCCACCACGATCACAGTCAGGTCTCTTGAGAGTCTACAGTCACACCAACCTGTATACAGACGTTAATATAAATAGATAGAGTCTGATCAGGAACTTGAGCAGTTGTGAGGACTGACCATACTTCCTGCAGTTCCTCACAGCAGGGATCAGTCTCCTACAACCTTCTCAGACGTGTGTACTTCTTTGGGTCCAGTTCTCCAGGACCTGGTCTGACACCTGCAGCAATGTAGGCCAGAGCAGAGCAACTGAACACAGACAGTTCGTCTGCTGAGTCCCTTCCAGACTTTCAGGAGAAGCTGGACAGTCTGCAGGAGAGACTGGTCCTTCATCTCCATCAGACAGTGGAAGATGATGATGCTTCTGTCTGAAGACTCCTCCTCTGATTCTCATCTCTTTGGAGTTTTTCAATGACTATTGTGGATTCTGACTGTTCCACTGGAATTCAGCAGCCATTTTAAAAGTCCTCCTGTTGGAGTCCAGACTGAAGGCCAATGAGGAAGCACACAAACAGTCCAGAGCGACCGTTTGAACCACTCAGGGATTTATCCAAGAGACTTTCTGATAAACTCACTTGTACACTTACCTGTGGATCTGAGTCTTTTTCACAGAGAAACTACTCAACGACTTGCATGTCACTTCCAAAGCAGTGCAGCAGTAAACCGCTGCCAAAACTCCTGGATCACTCATAAGGACGAAGCTGTAGACAGATTGGGTTGAAGACAACACTTTCATGTTGAAGATCTCTGTACAGAGTCCTGATTAGACCGCGGCTCGTCAGGGTCCAGTCCCACCTGCTCCAGGTCTGCCTGGTAGAACAATAATGTTTACCTTGCAGCAGAAGTTCAAAGGCCATCTGCCCAGCATCATGGAGGAATGTCTGCTTCTGTCCGACATCCACTGTTGTATCTTGTCTCTCATTCCGCTTCTGAACCTGACCAACCCAAAACTGCTTTACCTGAACGGCCGTCACGGCTCTCGGTTGGTCTTATCTCTATCTGTAGGTCTGCACCATAGGAAGCCAGCGTACATGTCGCTGAGATCTGGGGCAGCGCGAGCGCGACTTCGATCGTCTCACATGTGGTCCCAGGACGGTGGCGTTGGAGCCAGCAGAGATGGGGCTGATGACACATTGATGTGGAGGCTGCGGGAGCTTCTGATGTGGGACAGGACTGTCCTTACAACTGCACTACATTCGGTGAAACCTCTTCCTGAAGTACTGCTCCTTCTGACGCTCAGTGATGAAGCCTCTGACCTCTAGTGACTCCTGTGCACACTCTGTGCTGGGATCTGATTGAGGCTGCTGCTGGTCGGAGGAGATCCATATAAGACAGTAGGAAGCAGAGTCCTCGATGAGGGTATCACTATCACACACGACTCTGATTCTCTGTGTGACCTCAGAGATGAGCTCCCAGTCCAAAGTCCAGACCCAGTCAGCTCTCGTACCAGATCCGTCTAAGGATGAAGAGGAGTTTAGGAGACACGACAGATGAGTGAGTGGAGAGAGAGTCTGTGGACACAAGAACATGACAGTTACCAAGTCATACATGATGAATGCAGAGCAGATTCGAGCATGGATGATCATGTTGACATCAGTTTGACACAGGAAGAAGTGTCATTTTATAACGTTATTATTAGTTTCCCTGATTCAAACTCCATCATCTCGGGCTGGGAGAAGTTCTCAGTTGTGATTAAATGTCACTAATAATAAATGTTGAAAGTAAAACACTGTGAACTGGACTGATAGCAGAAGAAAAAGCACCTGTTTTTTTCCTGCGCTGATGGAACACTTGTATGAGCTCATCAACAGTCGCGCTGCCCCTTTCACCAGGATACATCTCTCAGAAGGACAGCGGCACCACTCAGCTCCATCTCCTGTTTTCTCTGAGCCCTGAGCCCAGTTCAGAACAGAAACGTATTTACAACTGAGAAGGTCTATCCCCACTCCAGCCACTCACAAGGTCAGCACTGCTCTGATGACTGGGCGCCCCTGCTTAGCTCCTCAGTGGCATGCTTTAAAGTATGTCCTGACACCTGATGAGGTTTCCTGCACCGTCTTCTTGAGATTTCCTCAGCCTCTCCTCCTCATGCTGGGCAGTCTTCATGGAGAGTTCCTCACCTCTGCTCCTCAGCTAGGGCAGTCTTCTTGAGAGTTCCCTCAGAGCCCCCTCCTCATGCTGGTGCTGTGGTGTGATTCACCTGAGGCCCTCTGTGATGGTACTGCTCCAGTGAAGATGCTGTGTCAAGGATAGTTCCTGCTTCCTCTGGTTCCCTCGGCCACCACTTCCCACATCTGCTGATTCACAGCACGCATTGTCTTATGACCTGCAGAAGCATCTGAGCTCTTCTTCTGTGAGAGGAATGCAAGACTAACAGTTTTAATCATGAGTTCTTTATATTAATTCTATTCAGCATGTTTTCATTATAGCTATTCCCCTGACTACCAGATCACTTTTTAATCTGTGAACGAGAGCTAAAGTCTCATCAAGTTTACTTCAGCTTTAGTGGAACAGTGCATCCAGAAAGTAATCAACACCTTCATGCAGTGGACTATTTGAACCACTATGTACATTGGGATGTCTTTGTGTCTTAGATTCTTAACCAAACTGCAAAGAATCCCTAAAAAACATCTTAACTTTGTCATAGATATTCCTGAGTACGATTGACAGAAAATGACAACCGATGAAGATTACAACTTATAACTCATGCAAAATTAGGATGCAACCGATATGAACACTTTGGCCGATTTTGATCTCCGATATTAATGTTCTATTATGGCCGATAAACCAGTATTTGCTAGATACGATGTTTATAAAATAATAATAATAATAATCTGAGATGATTAAATTTTGAGTACAAGACTGAATTTATATTCTCTATTTTCAGAATGTATTTTATTTTATTTAGAATGGACGATGTGGGAAAAGGCACACAGGAGTTTTGTGGCTCTTATTTGAGTGAAACTATCTTTAAAGCAGCGTATGTCGATAGTTATAAAAAGAGTAATGATAAAAATAAGACAAGAAAAAATAGTCCCCAATACAAATTGATAACAGATAAAAACAGAAACAGGTTTAACATAGTATTAAAAGTGGTACATTTCATGCTATAATCATACTGTTTTGTTCATAAAGAGATTTAGAGTTCTGTAATCAGAGTATCCTCTAGCAAGCCTGAACATGGCATTGATGAACATCCGCTGAAATCGATATTTATACCAATACATCGTGCTTCCCTGTTGAAAATGATAAAAAAGGTGAAAGAGGTGGAATACATACAGGAGCAGGTGTCAGACGGATGTCCACGTATCGTTATATTCGATTAAAACAGGATGAAATGTTTCTATAATAGAGGAGAGAGAGGATAAAGGTACAGCACACGTATTTTTACACTTGTTACCAAAAGAAAAACATCTAAATGAACCTTAAAGAATATTCTCCTCCACTATAATTGTAAATAGTTGTTAAAGGAATAGTTTATTAGTTAGAATTCTCCGGAGAGAATTTAGTGCGCGGACGTAGCGCTCCTAACTATCTCTCCGGAGACTTCATCTCTCGCTGCTACTGTGGGTACTACAAGTCACGCTGCAACTATTGGACGGAAGTGAGCGAGATGAGCAGTCTCCGGAAGATAAGTTAGAGCATCGGACGTATCCACCCTCGAGATTACTACGCCTCACACTATAGTACCCTTTTTATCCGCAGAGAAAATCGACTGTTACATTTCTGTGTTACTAACTTTGCATTGAACACACACGTAACTAACATACATTTCAATAGGGAACACTTGGAAGAGTTTGGTAGCTTCTAGCGGAGCTACCATTGGGTACTAACCGTGACCAGAGGCGGCTGGCTTTTTGTGCTCCCGTTTTTGCTCCCGTTTTGCATGACAGAGCGAACGGACTAGACCAGACAGGACGTATTAACTAGTCAAAGTAGGTAAGAACATATGGTCAGTATGTAAAACGGTGAACTATTCCTTTAAAGGCTTAAATTGTAGACCTAAAATGTCCATGAGCGCTGGAAGTCCCCGTGTGAATGCACCATCATCAACACACCCACACAGAAGAGACAAAAAGGACATGCAGATCGGATTGTGATCTCACCAGTGGAATACTAAAACGTTGCCACCCTACTTTAACTGCGTGGCTCTCGAGAGTTGACTGTAAATATGATCTCCAACGTTAGAATGAGAACAAAGAACTATCTTTAAAGCCTTTTACTTGCATATTCGTATATATCCTGTGTCGTCAACAAATCAAAAACCCCCAACCTAGATGGAAACATTACTGCAGTAAAAAACAAAAAATTTTTTACAAAAGTAACAACAGTACTTTGAACTGAGTGCATTGTGTGATTTTCTACCTCTGTCATGACACAGGAAACAGACCAACCTGTGTATCGCTCTTGGGCTTGGAGCCCTGAGGTCTTTGGCCCTGAGGTCTTGGCCCTGAGGTCTTGGAGCCCGAGGTCTTGTGTCGCCCTAGGATTGGCCCTGATGTCTTGGCCCTGAGTGTCTTTGGCCGTGAGTTCTGGGTCCATGAGGTCTTTGGCCTGAGGTCTTGGGCTCTGCGAGGTCTTGGTCCCTGAGGTCATGGGCCCTGATGTCTTGGGCCGTGAGCTTGGTGTCCTGAGTCTAGGGCCCTGAGGTCTTGGGTGCCTGAGTCTTTGGTCCTGAGTCATGGGTCTGAGGTCTTGGGCCTGGGGCTGGAGTCCAGCATTAGATGGGGGGGATGAGGTTTTTCTCTGTACAAAAACATTGGCTATTAGAGTCTGTAATGGTTTATTAAAAGTAGGGGGGGGGGGGGGGGGGGTGGGTGGAGTTAAATAACATTGATAGACTTTTGTTGTGTATTAAAGGTGAAAGTTGTATGTGATGTTTGACCTACGAGTGTAACTGTAGGACATCTGGTACCTTCAGTCAGTGTCTACAGAGCTCCAGGATCAATGGTTCCTGTATGTTTCTGGTGCGGGGTCCCACAGCAGAAGAAACACTCCTAAACACTGGATCCTACAGCAAGTTACAGACCACACGTGATGAACTGAAGCACCCTGAGCACATGCAGCTCTCACTACAAGTCAAATGTGCCAACAAACACACTTTATTTCAACAAAGCACATACTAAAATACACACGTTCCATTTGTCTAAGGACCATGACCCCTCTTTTCACATGTGATCGTTCATGTTTTCATCCACTGGTGAATTCTATGACAAAGCCTCACTCTGTCCAGTCGTAAACTTTAAATAAAAATGTAATCTAAAGTCAGATCAGGTTAAGCGCGTGTCTGACCAAACGCTTCAAAAAGCTTTTGACGCGCTTCAGCTGACGCCAAGCTAGTTTTGTCATTTTTGGTGCTTGAAGCTTTTGACGCATGACGCGCCTGACGCCGGTGGGAGGAGCTTCTCTGTTTGATCTGTAAGTTCGGACAGCGATGGATTTTTCAAATGAGCAGCGAGCCTTTATTTGAGTTATAAAAAGCACAATTAACAATGTTTGTAGGGCTTATCAACAAACCAATGATCTGGGTTCACACAGACTTGAGAGGCTAGCAGTTTTCGCAGAGTTTCCGACATTTACTCCAGGAGCTGCTTACGGAGGAGTTACGCTTTCAGCGGAACTTCCGCATGTCACCACCGCCCAGTCTCGAGTTACACAAACGCCCGAGCTCGCCTCTCCCCGCCTCGCTCTCGCCTCTCCCCGCCTCTCGCTCGCCCCCCCTGCCTCTCCCCGCTCTCGCCTCGCCCTACCCTCTCCCCGCATCAGCTCTCGCCTCTCCCTGCCTCTCCCCCAGGCTCTCGGCTCTCTTTCTCCCAGCCATCACCCCGGCTCTTGCTCTGAGCCAGACTCATCGTCATAGCCTGTTCTTATATTAAATAAAACTACATTTACTTACACAGCAAGTTATTTCGATGATTTTTGTTTACTCAGAACGTTAACTACTCATACAAATAATATTACTAATAACATAATGACAAACAAAACAGCACAACAGATACATGACTTCTCCTTCATACAGAGACAGACCCCTTCTGCTGCTGCAACCTACGTCTCCTGATTGGTTGAAGCACGCTCAAAGCTTCAAAAGCTCCAGCTTTGCTCAGCTTCGCGTCAAAGGGATTGTTTTTGATACGCGGAGCGTTTCGCCGTGTCAAAGCTTCAAGGAGCGCGTAGTACTTTTGAACATTGACGCGCGCCAAGTAGACGCCGGGGGCCTTCGGCTTCACCTGACCCACGCTTCACCATTCACTTCAATGCAAACCTGACGCTTTTTTACGCCGACGTTAAGTCCCGGTGTGAACGCCCCTTTATAGTTTCCTATTGGTTCTCACTTTGAGTGGATTGAAGATGCAGCTTCAAAATGAACTCTGGTGGCGATTCCACATAGACCGTCACTCCTTCATGTACACAGCACTGACACTGAGGATCTTTTTGAGAGAAAGACCCATGTACTCTGGGTCCCTAGGTTACACACCATCAACAGAACAGGTAAGAATTGTTTTTTTAAAGCATTACGAATAGGACTAAAGACAGGCCGCGAGGAGACACAAGAGAGAGACTAAGAGAGAGATAAGATACAGTATGAACCAATACGAGAGAGACCAATGGAGGACCAGGAGAGAAACCATAAACCATGTTATTTCAAGAAATTCCACAAAGAAAACAACTGAAAGAATAGATAGAGACTCCAAATAACACTATTATTTCTGTTATTAATATGAGAGAGAGGTAGTTCCACTGGAGTACTCTCTCATTGGTCTCATCCTCCTTTCTTGTCACACTCTTTCTCTCTCTGGTCTCTCTCTGTCTGTCAGATTTAGTCCATCGTAACTGCATTAAAACACATTTCTTACCTTTCTGTTGATGGTTGAACCATGGACCGAGAGTAACATGGTCTTCTCTCCACAACACGAGAGATCCTCAATGTCCAGTGCTGTGTCCCAGCGAAGAGTGACGCGGAGCGTCTATTGTGGAATCCACCAAGGTTCATTCTTGAAGCTGCTTCTACAAACCCACATTGAGAACAAAGGCCACCAGCTAAAGGGGCGTTCCAAAAAGAGTACCCTAGACACCGGACGTAACTTCGGCGGTCAAAGCGCAGGTTTGCATAGAAATGAATTGGTGAAGCGCGTCAGTTGAAGCCCGAGATCCCCGGCGTCACATGCCGCGTCAAAGCACTCCAAAAGTACTACCTCGCCACACCTTGAAGCTTTATGACACGCGAAACGCCTCGCAGTATCAAAACAAAGCCCTTTGACCGCGAAGCGGAGGTCTAAAGCTGAGCATATTGGCAAGCTTTTGCCGCGGGCATTCAACCAATCAAGGAACAGAGCAGCACAGCAGCGGGTCTGTCCTCTGTCATGAAGAGAAGTCATGTATCTGTGCTGCTGTTTATTGTTTGTTGTCATTATGTTATTAGTAATAATTATTTGTATGATAGATACCTTCTGAGTACAAAAATCTAAGAACACCTGCTGGAGAGTAGTAAACTGTTTAATATATTTAATATAAGAACAGGCTGAACCGATGATATCTGCTCAGAGCAAGAGCACGGTGGTGGAGAAGGCATGAGAAAAGAGCTGATAGCCGTGGAGATTCAGGTTAGGCAGCGCGCGGCGGGGAGATCGAGCGAGAGCCGGGGAAAGCAGGGAGATGTCGAAGACGACGAGAGCGGTGTAGAGGCGAGAGCGAGCGGGGAGAGGCGAGCTCCGGGTTTGAAACTCAACTGGGCGTGTGACATGCGGAAGTACCTGCTGAAAGCGAAACTCTCCGTACGCACTCCTGGAGTAAATGACGGAACTCTGCAAACACAGCAGCCTCTCAAGTCTGTGGTGAACCCCGACATGTTTGTTGAAGCCCTACAACAATATTATTTTGCCGTCTTAATATAACAAATAAAGGGCTCGCTTGCATCCATTATGACAACTCCAACGCTGTCCAGACTACAGACAACAGAGAATCTCCCCCACGGCGTCAGGCGCGGTACACTCGCTCAAAAGTCTTCAAGCACCAAAAAGACAAAACTACTTGCGTCAGCTGAAGCGCGTCGTAACAGCTTTTTGAAGCTTTGGTTCTGACGCGCCTTATACACAGATCTGACTTTAGATACATGTTAAATTTAAAGTTTACGAGACTGGACAGAAGTGAGGCTTAGTCAAAAGAATAACCAGTTGGATTTTAATAAACATGAACATCACGATGGTGACAAGAGGGTTCACTGTCCATGACAATGGAACGTGTGTATTTTCGTAATGTACTTTTGTGAAATCAAGTGTATATTGTTGCACATTTGACCTTTGTATGAGAGCTGCATGTGCTCATGGTGCTTCAGTCATCAACACAGTTGGACTGTACCATTCTTTAGGCTCCAGTGTTAGGAGGTGTTTTCTCGGGGGGGGGGGGGGGGGGGGGGGGGGGGGGGGGGGGGGGGGGGGGGCAGTGGGACCACCCTGCAACCAGAAACCCAACAGACCCATTGAACCTGAGAGCTCTGCTTAGGAACACAAGATCACAAGGTACCATCTGACACCTGCTACACTAAAAAAAAAAAAAAAAAAAGGGGGGGGGGGGGGGGGGGGGGTGGGGGGGGGGGGGGGGGGGCGGGGGGGCGAGTCAAACACACAACAACATCACCTTTACTACACACAACATTGGAAAAAAGACTCATCAAAGTTATTTAAATACCTTTTAATAAACCATTACAGCTCTAAGATCAAATGATATTATTGTCCATAGAAAACTCACTTCTGTATCTCGCAGCCCCAGGGCCCTAGACTCATGACCCAAGACCCTCAGGACCCAAGACCTTCAGGACCCAAGACCTCAGGGCCAAACCTCAGGACTCCAAGACCTCAGGCCAAGACCTCAGGGCCCAAACCACAGGGCCCAAGACCTCATAGCCCAGACCCAGGCCCGCAAAGACCTCAGACCACCAAGACCTCAGGGCCCAAGACCTCAGGGCCCAAGACCTCAGGGCCCAAGACCTTCAGGGCCCCAGACCTCGAGGGCCCAAGACCTCCTGGGCCCAAGACCTCAGGCCCAAGACCTCAGGCCCAAGCCTCAGAGCGACACACAAGATTTGTCATGTTTTCCCAGTTTTTATGACCAGAGATGCGAAAACCCACACTGCACTCAGTTCAAAGAACTGTTTGTTACTTTGTAATAGTTTTAACTGCAGAAAATGTTTCCATCTAGATTATAATGTGAACCGCACACAGGATATAAACAAATGCAAGTAAAGGCTTTAGAAGATAGGTCTTTTTCTCCATCTAACGTTTAAGATCAGAGTATTTAACAGTTCAACTCACGGAGCGCCACGCAAGATAAAGTGAAGCAACGATATTAGTAGCACATCACCATTGAGAACACAAACTCGATCCTCACGTCCATTTTTTTGTCCTTATGTTTGTGTTGTTTGAAGAAGGTGCATTCCGACAACGGAGCGACCTTCAGACCCTCATGGACATATCATATGGTGCACCTTCTAAGCCTATTAAAGGAAAGTTCACTCCGTTTACATACTGCATATTTCTTACCTTACCTTAGACTAGTTAATAACGTACCAGTATGTCTTAGTCCGTTCGCTCTGTCAGGCCAAACGGAGCAAAAACGGAGCACAACCGCAGCCTCGCTCTGGCGTCACTGTATAGGTACCCAAAAGGTAGCTTCCGCTAGAACTACCA